ACTTTAAGCCATTTAACTTTGGTTCTTTGCCTCCACTTTAATTCCTCCTTGTAGGCTAAAGAATCTAGAGTCACTTTGGCTAGCAGTCTCTTCCTTCTATCTTCCTCTCTAAGGGGACCCACTTCTTCAGCTGAATCCAGTTCTTTAATTACCTCTAGGCACTTTCTTTTTTCCGCTTCCATTTTTCCTTGATGATTCACCTTCAAAGATTTCAGCACCTCTTTGATCCCTTTAATCTTATTTGCCAAGATGTAAGAGCTGGTACTCTCCACCTTTAAATCCGCCCATTTCGATATAAGCATAGGAACCAACTCCTTTTCTTCAAACCAAGCATTTTCCATCTTGAAAGATGGTTTACTTCTCACCTAATTCTCCTCCTTTCCACATAGTAACTGAATTGGAGAGTGATCCGATAAAGGTCTAGGAAGAGCAACTTGTTTAATTTGCTGGAATGCCTCTTCCCAACTTGAGGAGATTAGAAATCTGTCAAGTTTAACCAGAATTGGGGATTCTTGGTTATTTGTCCAGGTGTGTTGAGCCCCCATCAAAGGCAAATCTAAAAGATCGGCCTGGTTAATAAAATCAGCAAATTTTCTTCTGTCCCTCGAGCTCCCATTACCATTGAAATCTCCTCCAACCACCCAAGGCAGGTCGGAGCTACCTCTAGCTACTAACAGTTCCTCCCACAACTTCTCCTTCTCCCCACTCTCCGTCGGACCATATACATTAGTGAACATACCTTGAAACCCCCCCTCCACTTCCAGCACAACTGAGATTGTAAATTCACCACCATGAGAAGAAATTAACTTGCATTTAGATACGTCTCACAAGGTCAATAAACCTCTTGCACTGCCCCTAGCTGCCTTACTAACCCACCGCACCTGACCTTGACCCCAAATGCTTCTTACCAAACCTGCATCCATTACTTCCAACTTTGTTTCTTGGAAGAATACCACCTCTGATTTCCACTTATTGAGTAAACTACAAACCACCATTCTCCTACACCCAGAGCCTAAGCCCCGAACATTCCAAGACAAAATAGACAGATCCATTAAACACTCACGACCCTAAAACCCTCTCCCCTTCCTCCCTCCCCTTCTATTTTTCCCCCTCCCCCTTTTCTGCTGAATCATTCAATCCCCACGGCAATCTTAACATCTCCCTGTTCTGCTTCGACCCTTTACCCCCTTTTTTCACATTACCTTTACATTTCTCCTCCCACCACCTCCTTTTAATTGCTTCCAAATAACTAATTGTCTCTGCCTCCATACCTGCTATTTGAAATCCCCAGAAATTTGCCTAGACCCAGTAGTTTCGAATTCACCCAATCTGAAGAACCTTCCACCCCCTTCCCTTTTACTCCCTCTTTTTCCTTGATCTTTGCCCCCTCCTCCCTCTGTCTTGACCTCTCCCTCACCCCTATTCCTCCTTCCCTTTTCTCCCCTATGCTCTGAACCTGCAAATTACTTTCCACAGTGGGGGGCACACTGTGAACAACATTTATATCCTCCCTGAACACCGCCAACGGAGTGATTTCCATCAGCTCCATCGGCTGAGTGGGCTGGATAGTCTGCTCCGGGCTGCCAATTGAGGGATCTCTTATTGATGTCCAGAATTGGATCTGGCTCAGATTCTTCTCTCAACTGAGAAAACACCTCCCAGTTCTCACTGTCCGAAATGAGATTACTGATATCATCTTGGTGACGAGCCCCACTGCATTTCTGCTGCAAATTCGGCATCTGAGCCGTGGCTAATAGCCAATTTGGGCCTGATAAAGGCTGCCAGTCCTGGACCAAACCATCCTTGGTAGACTGCTCTGGACCCGTCTTTTCATGGGACACATTTGACCCAACACCATCCTGACCGAACTGAGACTTGACTGCTTCGCCTCTCTGACCTCCCCCTGCAACCAAGCATGCCCTTTCCTTTTCTCCCAACATGCCACTTGTCATTTCTCCTTCTTGGTTCCTTTCTGGATACAACATCCTACTATCTGGCACCACATTTAATTTCACAAGACATTCCAGAAGCATCTATTTCAGCCGGTTCTTCGAGCACTCTTCCCACTTGTTTATCGGATTTAAATTTTGAATCTCCTTTTTTGCACAGTCCTGGGGCTGGGCTAACCTCATCTGTGTCATGGGTGGAGTTAACGGGTCCATCTCCTTCCATGGGTATGACTGCAGTACTTCATCTTCCGTACTCAACATGGGCTGACCTACCCCCATCTTCCGCCCCTCCATCTTCCTCTTCTCCGGTGACCTGCCTCTACTCGAGCTTCCTTCTTCTTCCGACAGAGGGACCACCGTATTACTCACCTCCGACTCCCTTTTTTCCTTTTCCTCCTTCCCCCCTCCCCTCTCATCAGTCAATATCTCACTCCCTCCCCTTTTCTCACATCCGGCCTGATTTCCTTCCAAATCCAAACCCAACAAGAAAAAGCATCAATTTGGTGTTTTCCTCTGAAGCAAATCACAGGAATTAATGGAGCCATGAAACACTTCCCAATAGAATGCACTGACTTTAGGAGGGATGGGCCGAGACCAGATCTCCTTAATAGGGAAATAAGGAGAGGGGGAGGTGGCTACAAGAGAATTCAGAAAGGACTTGCAGGAAAAAGACCCTGATTGATTGAGGGCCCACACTCTAGAATCTGAACCATCATCCCCCAAGACCTCTGAATTCAGCAGGCTAAGTAAAGTAGAGACACTGGAAATTTCAGATTCTCTCTTATTTCTAGTAAAGCCCAGATTCCAACTCAGGTTTGAATGGAGGAGGATGAGCTGATAAAATCACAAATAGGTTTTCCTTTGAAATTGCAGAGATCAAAGACAGAAGGAAAAACCTTAGAATGGGGGGGGGATCCCTAACCCAGATATCCTCCCAAAACCTAATTCTCTAACCCATAGCCAAGTCATACCTAATGTGGTAAGGAACATAGGAAGAATGTCATAGATGGCCTTCTAGGGAGTAGTTAGAGTAGCTCTATGCAAGCATCCTGCATCCCAACCATTGTTTGACAGCCCATTGATACTTGAAATAACTCTAGTCAACGGCTTCTCATTTTCTTTAGGGAATCTCCAAAGCCATTTACTCAACAAAGCGAAATTCTTCAACTTAACATTTCCAATGCCCAATCCCCTTCACCCTTCAGTTGCATCACCTTTTCCCACCTAACCAAGTGGTCTTTCTTCCCTTCCCTAGTCTCCCAAAGGAAGTCCCTCATGATCTTTTCTATTCTTCTTACCGCAGCTTGGGGCATCCTAAAAACTGACATGTAGTACATTGGGAGATTTGATAGGGTGGATTTGATCAAAGTGATTTTCCCTCCCAATGAAATATAATTCCTTTTACAGCTTGCCAGCCTCTTCTCAAACCTTTCCACTTCCAAAAACTAATCAATCTACTTCCAGGTTGATACCAGCCACTAAACTTTTAGACCAGTTGATTTTCAAATTGGAAATCCTTTCAAAGAATTTCACTACTAACTTCAGATTTTCTACCCCCTCTCTGCCTTCCCCATCACAAAAAACGAGGATGTCATCTGCAAACTGCAAGTGTGAGACCACTACTCTATCTCTTCCTATTATCCAACCCTTAAACAACTGCATAAAGTTAGCCTTTGAGATCATGCACTCTTGGTTTTATTATTCCTTTCTTTTCTGTCCAATATGTTCATTTGCCTAAATCAGAATCTGAAGTGTTCTTTGCTTTCTTGCAGGGATATAATTAAGTGGAATCATCTTTATGATTATCTAAATGGGCCTCCCCCCCACCCCCCAAAAAAAAAGGACTCGATCATTTGATTGATTGAATTATGTTGCATGAGAATTTCTTAAAATATTCATGCCAAGACACCTTCTAAAATCCTGTTCTTTCGCTATTAATATTTTGGATTGGTTTTTCCTTTTGCTCGGCTTAAGAAGAGGGGAAGAATTGTGGAGGTGTGTGGGAGCAGCTGTGATCTGGACAATCTTAGGAGAAAGGAATGCAAGAATCTTCATAGAGAAGGAGAAGAGCAAAGAAGTGGTGAGAGATTGTGTGGTGGCCAGGGTAATACATTGGATTAGAACCTTAATTATTCTCCCAGTTATCCTTTGGCTAAAGCTCTTCCTGAAGGTTTTGTGAAGTTATACTTTAATGGAAGCAGTCAAGGTAACTCAGGCCCCTATAGGATAGGAGGGGTATTGAGGAACACAGAGTGGCGTGTTGCTGCATTGTTTTTGGGCCCAGTGGGTTGGGTGGCTTGTCTAGAGCTGAATTACTGGCTGTTCTGCAAGGAATTAAAATAGCAAATGAATTGAATATGCTAAATGTGATTGAAGGGGATTCAAAACTGGTGGTGGAGTGGTTGAAGGAACCAGACTCTATAGCTTAAGGCTTTAATGGCTCACTAGAAAGTGGAAACATGCACTTGAAGATACAATGACTGAGGAGATCGGCAAATGGGATGGCAGATGCTTTAGTTAAGCAAGCGGTGAATAGAAATCATTTGTATTGAGCTAAAATGTAATATGTAACTTTTTTGTTTCTTAGGAGAGGTAGCATCTTGTGCCCTCTCAAAGGGATGCTTGTATTGTTGTCTACTTATTGGTTAATAAAAGTTACCTATCAAAAAAAATCTTTATGAACAAAAAATAAATTACATTGATCATTGTTATTGATAAAAAATGAAATAGGTATCAGTTCTTTTATGTTAAGCTATAAATTGATATAGGCTTGAATTTCTGAAGCATGTTCAATCAAATTGTAAATCATGGTTTGTTTTTAATAATAACATATCCTTCACTCTATATTTTCCTTGTTTTTAGATGTTCAACTAGTGTAACCAAAAAAATATGCTCTTTTATAATATCAATATTGACAAAAAGATTTTATTATTGTTATCAATTTTATTGCTTTCAGTTTTATATGATTTGAACTAGAAAATTTGTGGATATTTTCATAACGAAGCTTTTAATTTCGTTGTTTGTTTATTTTGTTTGCTGTGTATGATGCAGGTTAACCAAACTGCCAAACCACCCTCAATGGATCCTGCTATTATTCAGCTAGAACTGGATGTTGTTGACATTTTTGTCAGCCTTTGTAGGTTTGAATGGCAGGCTGGCTACCAAGAGTTAGCAACTGCATTATTTCAAGCTGAAATTGAGTACAGCTTATTTTGTCCTTCTTTACTTCTCACTGAGCAAAGTAAGCAAAGATTGTTTGAGCACTTCTGGAGTAGTAATGATGCAAGAATTGGAGAAGATGAAGCACTTGGGTGGTCCACCTGGTTGGAAAAAGAGGAGGAAAATAGGCAAAAGATTATTGAAGACTCCTCACAAGAAAAGGAAGGAGGTTGGACTGGCTGGTCATTACCATCTCCAAGAAATAATGAAATTAGTACAGATCCAGATGATTTGAATAATGATGTTATAGCTGCTGAGGAGGTTGGAGATGATTTTGAGACTGAAGATGTCAAGGAGGAGGATGAAATTGAAGCTTTACTGAAGAAGCTAGGCATTGATGTTGATGCTGAGGCTGAGAGTGAGGTGAAAGATGCAAGTACTTGGACTAGATGGTCAGAAGAAGAAATATTAAGAGATAATGAGCAATGGATGCCTGTGCATGAAAAATCTGGTACTTCCTTATTCTTTTTTCTCTCTGTATGGTTTAATGTTGGAATTGTATTTAGTTCTTAAACAGTATCTTTTCACATATTATTTGCTGAAATGCTATACTCTTTTCACTTGTGAACGCCAGTAAACTTCAATCTTCACTAATTTGATTTCCAATCCCTAGTTAACCATTGCCACATTAATTGAATCTGACTGTGAAAGAACAGGGGCATCATATAATGATGAGGCACCAGACAGAGAAGGCGATGAGCAACTTTTGGGAGTGATATTGTTTGAAGATGTTAGTGAATACCTCTTTTCATTGTGCTCAGAAGAGGCTCGTTTATCTCTACTATCCCAATTCATTGACTTCTTTGGTGGGAAGATTTCTCAATGGTCGGTAATTCTTCTGAATAATGGTTATTTGATGGTATTCCAATTTGCTTTAGATTAAGTTGATTAATTCCTATTTTTGATGGTAGTTATTTTTTCTATACAATCTAGACTAAATATTATAATTTCAGTTTAATATGTTAAAACAACCAAAACAGAAAATCAAAAACTAAATGAGTCAGCTCAGTCTTGGCAAGTTGCATGCAATTTATCTTGGTCTCTATCAATTTTACTAGATGGAACACATTCAGTACTGTACATAAAATAGTTGGGTGGTGGAGTTGGATTGGAGAAGAGACGCCGGTGGCCCTTGATATTTGTCTCCAATAACTACTATAGGTTTACAATTATTGCCCTTATTTTCTTGTCCACAACATGTGTTTTATAAGGACAATACATAGGGTACTAAAAATTCGGCTTGTGCTTGACAGCTTCAGCCTCAGAAAAATTTGCCCCTTGGAAGTAGGAGGGTTGCTCCCCTTTAATATGTAGTTTAATATATAAAGGGTTCTAATCTTATGGGGCAATGTTCAATTGAATCAGTCCCTGCCTATAGGTTGTCAAGCCCAAGTATTGGCCAGAGTCATTTGAGGGAGACTCTTGATCACCCCCCATTTTTGATCCCCTTTTTTGATAAGCACTTGGTCACTGTTTTTTTTTTTTTTTTTTTTTCTGTTCTCTTGTTTCCACCGGTACTTCATTAATAATGAACTGGTTGCCTTTACTATCGCTTTCTCTTATCTTGATGGAATTTGATCTAAAGCATTTCTCCATGGCATAGCCTAGAGAGATCCCATAAACTTAATATCCAAGTCAGCATTTATCCCTTCTCTAGTCTCATCTATTTATAGCATGGCATTAGGAAACAATCAAACAGTATATGCCATGAGTCCTTGTCCATACATGCCTAGTTAATTCATAGTGAACCAAAGGAAATGGATAAATGACTTTTCTTTATTTTGATCAATAACTAAATCAAATTCATTTGCTGATAAAACAACTGAATCAGATTCATTAAATTAAAGATAAAAAAGGTACAAAGAAGGGTGAGGAATGAGAAGGTAAGTAAATGAATCTGATTCAGTTTGTATCGCATTTGGGATTCTTTTTGTTTTCTCTTTGGTTGCAGGTGGGTTCCCCCTCAAGATGTGGCAGGACTTTTCAACCGAGACTTTTTGAGGCAATCAAAGAAAAGAGGGAAGGTTATGTGGAAAACTACAAAGGCAGCTATTTGTTGGGTAATATGGGAAGTAATGAATACCAAAATATTTTTGGATAAGAGTAGAACAAGGGAGGAGGTAATCGCCACAATTAAAGTTAAAGTTGCTCATTGGATAAGATCTTTACATATCTTTCAAGAATTCTCAGTCACAAACATTATAAGATCCTGGACAAAAGTAGCACAATCTTTAAGAGTGAAAGAGAGAGTAAGGATGGAATGGAAACCTCCAGATGGTAACAGGATTAAATTGAATTTTGATGGAAGCTCCTTTGGAAATCCGGGATTGTCAGGTATCAGGGGAGTAATCAGAATTCCGAAAGGAGAATATTAGCATTGTTCTCTGGACCTATCGGCATGGGCAATTCTCTAAAAGCTGAGTTAATGGCATTGTTATCCATATTCTAATAAAATTACTTCAAATTATCAAAAAAAAAAAAATAAAGCCCAAAACAGTCAATTCCTTGATTCCTTCTCACCCCTTGTTTGCCAATGTATCAGCAAAGGAATTAGCCTCTCCTTTTACCCATTGAAAAGTTACCCCCATTCCTTGTAATAGCCACCTAATTCTCTTCTTCTCATAAATGTAGCCCCTCCACCCTACATCCTTTTACCTTTGAGTCTCCTTCAGTTGCCAGCTTATGGGTTTGTAAGTCCTTACCTTTCTGAATTCCTTCCAAGACGGCCTATTTCAGCCCGATAAATGACTTCAATTGCTACTTCTTGAACCTAGAATTACTTTGTTTTTTATTGGTAAAAGAGTAGAATCATATAGAAAACAATAAAAAAACCTTGACTTGGGACAGCCTTAATTTTCCCCTTTTTGTTCACATTGGTAGCATATGTTCTCGTCAGATTGATCACTAGAGTGGATAGTATTAATTTGATAAAAGGTTGGAGAGTAGGTATACAGGGGGTGAGAGTAACTCCTGTGTTTTAAAAGCGCAAAGGCCATTTTACACGTGAGGTGCATGCTTTTTTGAAGCAAGGCACAAAAATGCAAAAAATGTTAAAAAGTCAAAGTATTCAAAAGAATCAAATAGTGCCAAAAAATAAAAAAATGCAACATATTAAGAATATTAAACACAATATTAATTAAAATATAATTTTTTTATTTTATCTTCAAAGAAATATTAATTAAAAATATAAACATAAAATTTAAAATAAATGTTTTAGAAAAACCTATTATCTTAAATTAAAATAAATGTCATCGTGAATGGTCATAAACTTTTATATTGTTCAAGATACTATGTACATGATTATGAATGTCTTTCTTTAGTTGATTCTTTATTTTATTCCATGTTTTACTTGTCATCTGCAAACTAACATGGAATTACATGCTATTAGCTTTTCCATGTGTTCTACATGGATCAAGTGATGAGGCTTATCTTTTCTTCTTTGGCAGGGCATCCACAAACAGTTCAAGTTGGATTGAAAATACCCTCAGCCTGGAGGCATTACCAGATTCTATTTTAGAAGATTTAAGAAACATTCATGAAGTAATGACAAAAAAAGAAAGTGCTTTGAGTAACTTTAATTTGGAATTTCTTTTGGGCAGTTCAATTGATATATCCAGAAGGACCAGTATGATGAAGTTTCTTCGCAATGCAATCTTGCTTTGTTTAGCTGCTTTTCCTCGTAACTATATCATGGAAGAGGCTGCCCTTGTTGCTGAAGAGCTGTTCACAACGAGAATGAATACTTGTACATCCTCAGTGACCCCATCTCGGGCTTTGGCAAAATCCCTTTTGAAAAATGATCGTCAGGTAGTGTTTGTTAAGCTCAATGGTAATCAATGCATGTAGTTCCTTAATCCTTTTATCCTTTTATATTCTTATCATTCCTATGGTATAAATTGTCTTTGTATTACAGTATAAATTGTATTTGTATAACAGATAAAAATTATATTTGTATTTTTGTATCCAGGTGTATTGGGGTGTAGCTAGGCATATCATATCGTTCTGGCTACACCTCGATATGCTAAATACTTAGTATTTTGAATTTTTGTTATTTGCAGGGGTAGGTCTTGCTAAGACTGACCCCTGCAAAATTTTAAAAAAATTCTAATAAAAAGGGGGTGAATGATCGAAATGCCCGATATTTTGAACCCTAGCTAGAAGGGCATGCATTCAAGGTAACAGTTTGACAGCTAGTTCAACTGGGTTCCTAGGAATGCAATTCTGTTGGCTGACTCCTTAGCATGATTAGGGGCTGTTAAGGACTAGATGGAATGGGGACTACCAGGACCAAGTGTTAATTTGTAACACTCTTAACATGTTTGTTATTGTATTCTTTTGGTCCGCTGTTTTTAGTGTCAGTTAGAAGTTTGTTTTTAATTAATATATTGTTATTTATCAAAGCTCTCCTATGTTCCTTGAGTTTCTTCTCTCTTGACCCTTCCTTTTCCGTTATGTGTATATGGGCTGTTGTTCCCTTGGGTGCTTTCTCTTGTTCAATATTTTTTTCTTTCCTCTATTCTTCTTGTTATCTCCTCTCTTATCAAATCTGTTTGGTTGGGCCTACCCTTTGAAAATTAGTGTTTTTTTTTGTTGTGAAGTTTTTCATTTGAAAATTAATTATTGTGAGATGTTACAGAAACTGAGACCAAATTGTTGTCTCATGCCACATATCTGCCCTCTTTGTGAAGCAAGTTGAGAAACTATACGTCATCTGTTGATCTCCTGCAATGTTGCTTCTGGTGTTTGGGATTTCATTTTTTCTTTATTTGGCTGTGGAAGGTCATCTTTTGTTGATCTAAGGTCTATAGTTTCCACATCATTTTTCAACCCAAGAAGAAGAGGGAAAATCCTTTGGTGATGTGCAAGGGCAGCTGTTTTATGGCCTATCCGGGAAGAGAGGAACAACAGAATTTTGAATGAGAAACCAGACTGTTGTCTCTCATCACATCACATATCTGCCCTTGTTGTAAAGCAAGTTGGGAAACTATCACACATCATTTGTTAATTTCTGGCTGTTTTGCTTCTGGTTTTTGGGATTTCATTTTTTCTTTATTTGGCTGTGGATGGCCAGTTCTTGTTGATCTAAAGTCTATATCCTCCACATCATTTTCAACCCAAGAAGAAGAAGAGGGAAAATCATTTGGAGATTATGGGCAGCTGTTTTATGGTTTACCTGGGAAGAGAGGAACATCGGAATTTTGAAGGAGAAAAGGAATGCAAAAGAGGAGGTTATTGAGACTATTCTATTCCGGGTGGTGAGCTGGGTGAAGAGTAGGGGTGAACAATGAGTAGGTTCTACTCGGAACTAAATGGAACCAACCTCGTGGCCTTGAACCGACCCTACCCAATCTGATACTGGATTGTGTCTGGTTCTAAATTCTTGGAATTGACCTCCACCCAGGCTGGTTCCAGGGTCTAAGGCTTTATCCTATCCAAACTGGCCTTGGTGGAATTGGCCTTGGAACTGAACTTGCCTTGGAAAAAAAATCCCAAAATACTTAATGTGAAGGTTTGAATCCAAGCACTCATGGTTGCAAAGGCCGTGGTCTCACTAGATGATTGAGCCACTTAAGTGATTTGACCATTTTTCTCCAGTTTAGTATTTGTGTATAATAAGTAATGTTAAAGGTAATATTTACAAAATTTGAATTATAATGATAAGTATTGAACTATATTGTTGTTGTTGTTGCTGATGCTGCTGCTGTTGTTGAGAATCATGTTTTTAAAGAACAATTTCTATTTTTTTTTTTGGGGGGGGGGTGGGGGTAAAGAAAGAACAGGTTCCATGGGTGGACACTGGAACCGACCTTTGAACCAATTTTGATAGGGTAGGTTCCAGTTCCAAAATCCTGGATCCAACCACAATAGCGTAGATTCTTGGTTCTGCCTTGAAACAAAACCAAACCTACCATGCTCACCCCACATTTTTAACCTTTCTCTACCTTTGACATTGTAAAGGGATAGCCATTAGTAACAAATGCAAGTCTGAAATGTCAAAGCATTAGAAGGGAATGAAGACCTCTAGATTCTAGACCTTTTAAACTCAATTTTGGTTGTTGTAGTTTGGGAAATCCTGGCCCATTGGGGGGTGGGGGAGTTATATGAGATATATCAGGTGTTTTCATTGCAATATACTCTGGACCACTAGTTGTGGGAGACTTGGCAAATGCTGACTTGCAAGCAGTACTTTGTGGCCTAAATATATGCAAGATATTTAATTTGTATGATGTAGAGATTGAAGGAGGTTCTAAGGATGTGATTTGCTGGTTTAAGAACAACTAAAAGGGAACTTGACAGCACAGGTACACTTTAAGAAATGCTTCTTGTATTGCAAGATACTTGGAAGCAGTTTGATGATGGACTCCTAGAGCAGCAAACAGTGTGGTTGATTAGTTGGCTAGACAGGGAGTAAATAGGGAAGCTTGTTTTGGGGGGCCTGTGTCGTAATTAAGTTGTTAATCCCCATTGGGGAATGGTTAGGTAGCATTTGCGAGCCTATATTCCTGTATTTTTTTTCTGTGCGTACCTTCTTTTCTAATAAAATGAACTGTTTCAAGAAACGAAATCAGATGACAGCATGGTTGATGCCTTTTTTTTTTCTCCCGTATATCTGTGTGCAGTAACTGCAGTTTGTATACCTTCATTTGTTTCTTTTTCCCCTTGCTCTCTGTATTTTTTATCAATAAGGCTATGTTTGGTTTAAAGGAAAAAGTAGGGAAAGGTACGCAAACCTTTACAAACCTTGTATGGGTTTCCCTACCTTTCCTTTCCCTTCCCTACTTTCTCCTTCAAACCAAACACAGCCTGAGTGAAAAGAACTTATAATATCTTTTTGCCTTTTGTTTTTTCCCTTATATCTAGTATCTTTTTTGCATGAGGGGCCCTCTCCCTCCTTTAATCTAAGATCTTCTTACCTTTAAAACAACTGGAAAGATTTTATAAAAAGAGATGCGGAAAAGAGAAATACAATATCTGGGTCTTCGTGCTAAGGTGCCATGACTAGAGAAGATCCTAAAAAAGTCCAGCACTATAGCAGAACAAAATAAGGTAAATACACCAATTTGTCTACAAGCTAATGTTGAGGTTTTTTTCAACCTCTTTATTGTTTTTTTTTTTCAATGTCAAAAACCAAATAAGGGGAAGGAAAGCAAAAAAGTGAAACAGTTATTCCTTTACTATTTAATTTCTTATATTTTACAAATTCTACTTCTGCTGGGTGTATCCATTTGTATTTGGTCATATTGACATCTTAATGTTCTTGATTTTGTTATTTATATTAAATATGCTGCAACAGGATTTATTGCTTTGTGGAGTTTATGCACGAAGGGAGGCTGCTTCTGGGAATATTGATCTTGCAAGGAAGGTGTTTGACATGGCATTATCTTCAATTGAAGGGCTTCCGATGGTAAGAATTGTGAAACTAAATGATCGCGCCCCTGTAATGTCTATTTATGTATTCATGCTTAAGGGAAATTGAGAAATATACAAGAGTTAAGCAGAGAGAAATTTACAGTCCAACTCACAAGGGGGTAGGTAGATCCCAAAAATAACAAAGTAAACAACTAGTTGATCTTTTAATTAGATTGGTTGTGCTTTTGAAGTGTTGATTGAATAACATTTTGATCCACCTCTACTCTGTTTTTTTCACTCTTAACACTGGAAGTGTCTGGAAGGTTCTCTGTTTGATCTGCTATTTGGTGCTAACCTCATGAAGAATTGAAAATGACTGATTTGTATCAACAGTTCGAGCTTACTTCTGGTCATGGACTCTACATCTTTTATTCCCCAGAGATATCTATATTCATGTCTTCTTGACCTGCCTCACCTTTTCAAGACATTTGATGGTAGTTGGAAAGGTGTCTATGTGATTCTAGGTGTCAGTGGATCACTTAGTTTCCTAGGCACTAGAATTTTACAAAGAAAAACATATTTCAAAATTAGTGCTTAATTTTACACACCAATCAGTGTGCATTTAACCTTTTTTTTTTATAGCAAACAGTGTGCGTTTAACTTGAGAAAAGGGAACTCTCATTCAAAAGGAAAAGGGAAGGATGCACATGAGAAGATGTACAGACAAGGATTCCAAAACGAAAAACCAAAATGCCCCCTCTGGAATTGGAAAAGTATTTGCACTATATTTCTTCCCACCCCACTTTTAGCTAAAGCATCAGCCAAAAAATTAGGACTCCTAGGAATCCATCTGAAACAACATTGAAAGGAGGCCAAAATGTCAAGTATTTCATGCAAGAAATGAGCAATCTTCAATGGTCCTGCACTTCTCTTTTTAGCCCAACCCATTGTGTTTCTTGAGTCTCCTTTAACCAACAAAGAAGTAAACTGAGGAGCTTTTGCTTGCTGAAGTCCCACCAATAAAGCTTTAATCTCTGCCTCAGATGCATCATTAGCTGAGACTGGGCCACTGAACACCCAAGAGATGACACATTCAGAACTGTAAGTGACTCTACCTATACCTGCTGCCAATGGGGTGTCTGAGGCTCTTGTTAGATTACCATCAAGCGTCAAAATGAATGCAGTCTTAGCCTCTTAGGCCTTGGGGAAAAGGAAGGCTGAAACCCAGTAGGAGAAGATTGGAGTATGTCTAAAAGATTTCTGTTTAAGTCCCCAATGTTAATCTCTGTGATAGCCTTGTTGTTCCTTCTGAGAGAACCATTCAACCTAAAAGCTTAAGCTGTTAGGTGAGGTCCTTGAATAGGTTGATATTCTCTAACACGTCCTTTCACACGAAAGCCCATCGAGCTTGAAGCGTGGACAAGCACAGGCCCACCCATACCTTGGGCTGAAACTTGATTAATTATAATGGGGGCCACGAGAGTCGAACACTAGACCACTTGGTCAAAGTGGCTTTGATATCATCTCTGAGAACCATTCAACCTAAATGCTTAAGCTGTTAGGTGAGGTCCTTGAATAGGTTGATATTCTCTAACAGTCCTCATCCAAGAGATCAATTGAGTCAAAACTCTATTCTTTCAGCAAGCTACCGAGGAGGTCTTATTTTCAAAACTCTTTTGTTCCTCTTTTCCCATATGCACCACGCCGTCGCATGGACAGCAGCTTTCCAGAAAATCCTGCCCCTTCCACCTAACTTTCTAGCTTTCCATTGCAGGATAAAATCACAAACTGAATTAGGAGGGGCCCAAGAGAAGTTGCCTTAATGAATAAAATCTAGCCAAAATTGCCAATGGCTGTGGGCCACCTTAGAATTGATCAAAAGATGGCCAATGGACTCCCCATTCTCTAGGCACAAGATGCAAACATGGGGGCAGATGCACCATTGCCCCTGCCTCTTCTTCTGCAAATTACCGAAGGTATTTAACTGGACTAACTGCTTCCCAAATAAAAAAAGGAGATTCTCTGTGGAAACGTGGGTAGCCAAATCCTACTAACTGGAAAAGGGGACAGAGAGAACCTAGAGGCCAAGCTAAGAAAGAAGGATTTGGTACTGGTAGTAAAGAAACCTTTGGGGGTAATGGACCAAATTAGCTTGTCGGGAAAAGGAGAAATATAAACATTGGACAACAACACAAGGAAGGCGGAGGACAACTCAGCTGACTTGCGGTCTTTTAGACCTCTTCGAAAGTTAAGGTTGAAGGAGAGACCATGTCTATCAAAATAGATAGTTGAAGCTTTTAAACACTTGCTGTCACTTTAAACACTGACAGAAAGAAGGTAGGTCGATAAGACAGAGAGGCCTTGATCAGAGTGTGTCTACCTCCTTTGGAGATATAATTCTTCCTCCAAGTATCTAGTCTCTTCTCAATTTTTTCTAAAACTGGAGCCCAGAAGTCTACCTTCTTAGGATTACCTCCCAAAGGTAAATCGGGGCACTTTATATGCCAATTTTCCACTTTACACCCCAAAGCAATGCTGTAATAAACCAACCTTTGGTGGGGTACATTAATTCTGATAATACTACTCTTCCCTAAGTTGATTTTTAGCCCTGTTTCAGCTTCAAAGCACTTAAACACCCTCTTCAGGTTGAGAAGGAACTCCAACTTGTCTTCAATAAAGAAGATAGTGCCATCTACGTATTGAAGATGAGTAATTTGAATCTTCTCCATGCCTACCCCAAAACCTTTAAACAAACCCAAGCCAATTGCTTTTTCAATAAAGGCATTAATAATATTGGCAAACAAAGAGAAAAGAAGCAGAGAGAGGGGACAGACTTGATACAACCCCCTAGCTGCCTTAAAAAACCCCTGGGGAGAGCCATTAGTGAGCACTGAGAACCAGGCCCTGAACACAATCATTCATCCAACTAATCCATTTCTCATCAAAACCTTTCAACTCCAAAATCTTCCATAGACATCCCCAATCCACCCTGTCATAAGCTTTTTCAAGATCAATTTTGAAAACTAAACCTCCAAGATTGCTTCTTTTCCTTTCCTAGACCCTTTCATTTGCAATTAGAATACTGTCCACTATTTGTCTCAGTAGAAAGTGCAAAACTGCAATCTGATTTGAAACCTGTAATAGAAAAGAAGCTTTTGCAGAGAAGAGAAGAAGAAAGATTGAAAAGAATGGGACAAAGCCAAAATCAGATCTGGCTGCCCCTTTCATCATCTTATATACTCGTAAAAAACTGAATACAATGACTGGTATACTCTTAGTAAGTTGGCTACTACTAAAGAACATAAGAAAACACTCTTAACAAAACATAAACTAATGGGCTTTGGGCCCAATAACTCTAACTGAACTTTATAAACAAAAACAAGTGTTATCAGCCCAAGGCTGCCCTCTTCGAATTTCCGAGTAGAGGGTCCTTAGAAAAGCACCAACAACTTACACAATACTGCAACTGGAGGCATTAAAGCCTCTTTTCCAAGGGGGCGATCAGTCCTCTTGAGTCCTTTTCCCTTCCAGTAAAGAATATGGAATCAGGAATGTTCTCTATTCTTAGGGCACAAAAAAGGAGAGACATGAACAGTAACAGTTGCCCTTAGAGCAATGATACCATGTTCCAACTTCAATAAAGAAAAGCAAAGTCAAAGAAAAAGAGAAAAAGAAGCAAGGGAAAGTAGGGAACAGATAGAGAAGAGGAGAAGAAGAAAAGCGAGAAGACAAGCAAGGAGAAGTCAAACCAACTCTCCTCACTGTTGACCCAGCCTGTATTAACATTTGACTGATTGCTGAAATGACAAAAATGCCCCTAGATAAGTTACAGCAGATACAAGAGAGAAAAATAACAAGGGAAAAGACAAGTATGCCTCTGTCACTAATTCTAACAATTCTAACAATGACCATAGGCTGCCATTCTTCAGCTGACACTATTAGTTCATTCAAAGCTTACTTTTAATTATGAACCTTTTATCTTGTGGAAATAGTGTATACTTTGTTTCAATTAATGGATCTATTTGTTTTATATTCTTTTATTAAAGTTTTACTTAATAACTATTTATATGTTATGCATATTAAATCACTTTTGGGTAATATGAATTAAATGATGTTAGACTCAGACTGGGACATAGAATTGCTCTGATGATAGGGTTATGGTTTCAAGATCCAGTTAAACTGTTCAATTCATTCAAAAAACAAGTAGAAAACATTTTTCTTTGGAAACTGTCTGTTTTACATCAAAATGAGCTTAAACTTAATTTTAGAGTATAACATCTATAGACACATTTCATTAAGGTAAGTTTAACCAAGTAACATTTGCTAAGAACCAGGCAACTAAAAAAACTATTTTGGTTGCTGGTCCTAGTTTCTGGTAGTTGAATTGTCCAGTCAATGTCTGAACTCTAGGAATCTATACTCTTATTTTTCACGTGAATGTTGTAGACTTGTGGTTGGAATTTTTTACTTTTAAGTGGAGTCTGAGGTAAATAATAATACTGGGGGGCTTGCCTATTTATTCTTTCTTAAATCATTTGATCAGGATCTTCAGTCGAATGCACCTCTTTTATATTTTTGGTATGCTGAAGCGGAGCTTGCGAACTGTCAAGGCAATACTTCAGAGTCATCCTCATTGCGTGCAATACACATTCTGTCTTGCTTAGGAAGTGGTGTAAAGTACAGTCCATTTAAATGTCAACCATCAAGTCTGCAACTGCTAAGAGCTCACCAGGGATTTAAAGAACGCATTAGGATGTTGCGATTGGATTGGGCACGTGGAATTATAAAAGATCATTCTGTTGCTCTTGTTTCTTCAGCTGCTTTATTCGAAGCATTGACTACTGGAAAGTCTGCTGGAGTTGGAGTTTTAGAAGAGACATTTTCTATGGTGCTTCCAGGTCATTTAACTTTCTTATTTATTATTTTGCTTCTTTTTTTTTTGTATTTTTCGCATTTGTTTATTTAGTTGATATTGTAGAACTACCACTGATTCCCCTTAAGCAGTGTTACTTTCTATCATGGGAAAAATATCTAAGCTATTTACCTTTTCAAATATGTAGAGGTTTCTTTGTGATGACTATTGGGGCCGGGGGTTATTTAGGGCTGGCAATTGAGTGGGTTTGGCGTGGGTTGAGCTATAACCCACCCGTATAACACTCATTTGCATAGAGCCTAAATGGGCGTGACCCATTGTTTTACATTTAAAATATTGGGGCTTTTCCCTGTGAGCTTTGGACTTTCCCCATCTTAAAATACAAATAAATATAATAATAAAAAGGAGATAAAAGACAGATTTGACTGCTGGTCTATTAATGCCAGATCAGCTGACTTTCCTACTAATTTGAATCTAAAATATTGTTTAGTCTCAAATAAATTGAACTTTTAAACTAGTTGGTTATCGAAGGGAGTTAAATAACCTATAGGTACATCCTTGCTATATAAGGAGATGAGGAAATAAAAAAAAAAGACGGTGGAAGGCATGCATGAAACTGTTGAACAAAAGAAGAGAGAAAGAGAGAACAGAGGAGAGATTAAGAAGAGATAAGGAATTTTGGCAAGAAGGAAAGTGAAATATAGGTAAGAAAATTGGTCAAATATGAGGTCTTTCTCTCTGGCCTTTTATTTCCTTTCTTTTATTCTAAAATCCATGTCTCTTCCCTTGTTGTTTCCTTTTTCATCTACTAATGGTAAAACTAGAATTACCACATTATTTGGATTTGTACTAGCAATGTAAATAAAAAGAATCCAAGCATGATATGATTCTATTTCAAACCAGCCTTACCTGAACCAATTTCTTTAGGGATAAGGATTGATTTGGTGGATCTCATCCTACCATAATCAAAATTTTCTTTTTCTTTAATTTGAGATAATATTGATTTGATTTCTAAAATACATCCAGTGGATTGTGTCCACTTTAACTAGTGGGTTCTACCTATTGTTTTACATAAGATCCTGATTAGTGATTTAAAAGGCACGCCTGGCACACTTGAGGCGTGCCTTGGCACACAGGCGAGGCACATTTTATGGTTGGCGCCTTGCCCAGGTCCTAGGCACAACACTTTCAAAAGGTGCATGCTTGGTGCGCTAGGGGTGCTTACGGTTCGGTTAACCAAACCGTGGGCCTTTTTTTGTAACCGAATCGGTATTACCAGCTTTTGGAAAACCGTTAACCGAAGCCGAACTGAAGCCAATCGATTAACTGGTCGACTGTTTTGGTTTGTTGGTTTTTCGATTTTTTAATGTTTACAATATATATTATAAAATATATATATGAATATATAATAAAAAGTATAAATCTATATAAAATATTATATTTTAAATAATAAATAATATTTCGTATATTGTAAATATATATTTATATATACAATGCATATTTATTAATTTATAATATATAAAAAATATAAAATATATATAAAATATAAATAATATACATAAATATATAGAAATATATGTATACTAGTTGGTTCGGTTAACCATCGGTTTTCTATATTGGTTAATCGAAACCGAACCTATACCTTCGTTTTTTTAAAAACATTGAACCGAAATCGAATTGTCTGGTTTGGTTAACTGATTTTTCGATTCAGTTTCGGTCTTTTTTTTTCACTTGGTTCGATTTTTTGGTTTTTTTTTGCTCACTCACAAGTGCACTTGATGCGCCTTGCGCCTTGGCCCAGGCGTGCACTTTTTGAAAATTGTATGCTTTTTTTTTTTTTTTTTAAACCTAGAGGTTGGCTGGGGGCTCTACCCTCGGACCCCTGACCACACCCCTTGAGGCATGCCCAAACAAGACCATGTTAGGGTTTGCTCGCTCGGTCACCGAAGCTCCGATAACCCCTATTTGCTAATGCTGTTCATTCATTCATCTTAATAAAATATCTTCTTAAAAGGCAAATAAAATTATAAAATCATTATTTTTGTGTGAGAATTAAGAATTTAGGACCTTAACATGGACTTGTTTGGGCTTGCCTTGAGGGGCATGGCACAAAGGCGACTCATAGAAATGGCAATGTAATATGTTTTGCATCACATTAGCTACTTGAAGTAATGCAATTGAAGAAAAAAGAGATTGTGGGCTTTACATGCTTGAAAATGTTTTATATGTTTGATTTTATTTTTACATTTTCATTTGAATATGCCTTACATGTTATGTTTATGTATTTTAATTTTCGATAATAGTTTTTTTTAAAACCATTAATTTAAAAAATTAAGTTTATATTTCTTATCAATATTATGTTTAATATTTTTTGCATTTTCTTTTGAATTTTTTGGCATTTGTTTGAATTTTTTGACATTTTTTTTTATTTGTAGCATTTTTTTTTGTATTTTTGCGCCTTGCTTAAAAAAGGCATACACCTCACCTTGCGCCTCTCACCTCGGGCGCAAATTGGCCCTTGTGCCTTTTTTGCGCCTTGCGCTTTTAAAACAGTGATCCTGATAAAACCATCAACAAAACAGGTTAATGCCAGTAGGCCTATCCACTATCAAGATAGAATTTTGACTGTTGGGTCCTACCCACTTTAGGCCTCGTTCGTGTCTCAGTAAGTCCTTTACCTGGGTAAATGCTCTTATCTTCACAAGTGTTTCCCTGGAAACACTTATCTTCATTTTTGAGTGATTTCCCTACTAAACACTTATCTGGACAAGTGCTTAGGTATTTTGGCTTTTTTTCCCTTGTTGGCTTTTCCACCTTTTTTTTCTCTTTTCCCGACCTTTTTTTGATGATTACTCTTTTATCTACATTAAAAAAAAGAGGTTATGATGGATCATGTCTTGGGCCAAGTTGTAATTTGTTATTTTGGGAAAACTATGCTGCCAGAAAGACATGATACCAGAAAGGCTTTGACGAATCAACCCTTCCTGTGAAACTTGACAAGTACTACCTGATTGCAGTGTTTTAAAAGCGCAAGACGTGTGCAAGGGCGAGGTGTGCGCCTTTTTATGAAAGGCGCAAAATTACAAAAAATCTAAAAAATAAAAAAATCAGAAAATAAAAAAAACCAAAAAATTTAAAAAATGCAAAAAAATTCAAAAAATATTAAACATAATGTTAATAAAAAATATAAACGTAAATTTTAAAATAAATGTTTTAAAAAACCAATCATCTAAAATTAAAATACATAAACATAACATGTAAGGTGAATTTAAATGAAAATTTAAAAGTAAAAGCAAACATATAAAGCATTTTCAAGCATGTAAAACCCACAATCTATTTTTTTCCTTAATTGCATTGCTTCAAGTAGCTAATGTGATGTAAAACATATTGCATTCTTGATTCTATGAGTCGCCTTTGTACCACGCCCCTTGAGGCAAGCCTGAACAAGTCTTTGTTAGGGTTTGGAATTCTTATTTCTCACATGAAAAATAATGATTTTATAACTTTAATTGCCTTTTAAGAAGATATTTTATTGGAATGAATGAATGAACAACGACTGCTTCATTGGTTACATGTTTTTCTAGTATTATGTCTTTCCGGCATCATAGTTGAACCCTGTTATTGTAAAATCAGTGATGCTGGTGCTCTTATTATGTTTTGTGCAAAATTGGTTTTTGGGTTGGTTGTTTTGATGGTTATTTGCTTCTGCTAGTGGGGTATGTTCTTTTTGGATGGTCCATTTTTTTTTCTTGTTATTTCTCTTTGGCTGTCTTCTTGTATCCACACCTTATCCTTGCATATTCTTCTCTTTCTCATCTTTAGATAAACTTCTCTTTTTTTTTATATCATAGTTTCAAGGTGCTAAGGCGAGGCTTGGTGACTGGGAGGGGTAGACTGGATCTGGTCCTAACCATTGACATTTTTTTGCACAACGTGTCTGCTCTAAAACTCAAATCTATGCTCTGAATCCTTTTCCCTAGGTTCCATAGCAACCGGCAATCATCTTTCACTAGTAATTATCAATAGTTTTCTTAGAAAATTATAAACTTCATATTAAAACATAGAAAATCAACATATTCATGAGGAGAAAATGAAAATCCAGAAAATATAGGGGCCGGACCTTTATATTTGTCCTAGGAAAAGATGAAAAGAAAGGGTGGAAAAAGAACATGTTGATTAGACAAGATTTTAAGTTCTTCCTTGCTTATCAGTTCGGGTTTCGAAGTATTCAAGCATTCAAGACAGCATATACAAACTGTCAATAGAGTGGAAGCCTCCTCAGGAGGGTATCATTAAGCTCTACTTTGATGGTAACAGTTTAGGCAATCTGGGTCCTTCTGGTGTTGGGGGAGTGTTCAGAAATACAGATGGGCTAATCATTGCTTTATATTCTGAACCTATAGGAGTAGGGGATTCTGTTAATGCAGAAGTTAAAGCAGTGATACAAGGAGCTGAATTGTGAACATCTGTTAATCTAAGGTGATTCCAAGCTGGTGATCCAGTGGTTAATAGAACTAGAAACAGCAGCCTGGTCCTATATAGGGGCTTTACGTAGGTTCAAATGGCTAACTACAAACATGTCAGTTCAATTCCAATGGGAAAGAAGATCAGCAAACGGGTTAGCAGATTCACTAGCTAAGCAAGGGGTGCATAGGAATCAGATGTTTTGGGCTAAACTGTAATTCTTTGTTTTTTTATGAGGCTGCATCTCGTGCCCCATCTTGGGAACTTTCTCTGTGTATCTTTTTGCTTTTTAACCTATTAATAAAATCACTCATTATTCATAAAAAAAAGACAGCATATACAAACATGTGTTGACTGAACCCTGACTAATAAGAGAATGGTAAGAAGAAAGAAGTATTTAAACTCAGAAAATGAATAATTTGGTGTAATAATTCATATTTTACTATTATCAACTCAAAAAATAAGGAATATGAAAATATTTTATAGTGCCATCTATAAAATAGCTAGGTGGTTAAGTGGGCCACCCTTCATGGGTGCCTTGTTGCATAGGCATTGGCTTAACTACTGTTATTTATATAGCCACACATACCCTGTTGTAACTTGCTAAGTTCATAGTTGTTTCTTCTTCAAGTTTGGAACTTTATGATGCCTTTATTCAAGTCTTATGGAAAAAGCTATTCTTCAACTTATCTTAAGATGGATCCAGAAAAAGTTAGATACTTGTAGATATTGGCGTCGATTACTATTGTGATGTTAAAGATTGTCTTTTATTAATAGTTTAAGTGTATCACTGTGTTACATCTTTTTATCTTTGTTTTATATCCTCTTTTGCTTTTTCTTTTAATAAGAGTTTTCTTGACTTAAAAAAAGAAAAAAACTGTGTCCTCACATAGACATTGTTTTTGTTATTCTGTATTATCTACTGAAAATTATAGTGTAAATGAATTCTTACAGAGGAATTTAAAATTCTTCATTATGATTTTTAGCCCTGTTTGGGAGTGTTTATTTGATAAATAAGTGCTTATTCCTAACGTCTCATGAGCGTTGGGTGAAAAAGAACTTATTTCAAAGAGGGTTAGTACAGGTATTTTTAAAATGATGTGACGGGCCAAGATGGGCAAGAATGGAAATAAGCACTTATTGAATAAGTGCTTAAAAATAAGCTCAAAATTTGGGCTTCTTGAATAAGCACATATTTGGGCTTATTTTCGAAACACAAATAGGTGCTTATTGGTGTAGTTCCGATCTAGAATAAGTGTTTATTGAAATAAGCACTTAAAACTAAGCACTCCCAAACATGGGCTTAATATTTCAATTGTTAAACTCAACTCTTTCCTATAAATTAGATGTTAAATGGTGGAATTTAACTAGTGTTCTCATTTGCAGAAAGAAAAAGCCAGAGTTCTCAGCTAGAATCCTTGTTCAACTACTATGTGGAGATGCTTCAGAAACATTATAAGCAATTTCAACTTTCAAGAGTGTGGGAATCCATTTTGCAGGGTTTAAAAATTTATCCTTACAATCCAAAGATTTTTTGTGCTTTTGTAGGGATCAGCCATCTTTATACTGTACCCCACAAAGTCCGATGGATATTTGATGAATATTGCAACAAGTAAGAACTTTGTCTTCTTATCTCTATTACATTGATCTTCTATAGTTATGAGCTCTCATGGTATTATAGTTTTGGAGCAAAAAGAAACTATATCCTTAGTGGCTAATTTCATAATGGATGAAGTGGCTAATTGGTGACTTCTTGCTTTATCTTTTGGTGGATAAAATATTGAAATAATAATATATTCAAGGGTATAGTAGTCAACTTCAGCTTCAACCATTAAGGAGCTCACAACCTCTTTAATAACTTGTTTGTTAAAATTTAAAGCAATTATTCATTCAATCCTAGTGTTGTCAGACTGACCGGATTGGATGATCAGACTGAGAACTGGGAACTGGCTGCTAACATGGTTTCTAAGTCACCCAGCTCTTAAAATGTTGACAGTCAAACCTACCTTAAACACTTCTCAGTTCAGCCACTTCAGATGTTATGAAAAAGTCTTTTGCCAGTCTTTTTTTTTTGAAAAGAGGTAAATTGTCCTTGCATTGAAAAAAAAAAAACGTTTTACAATCTGTGGCTGACATGCATGTAGAGAGAGGGAGGTGTATCTGTGCCCTTGGTGGGAGAATGCAAGAATATGAGGTTCAGACACTAATGATATTTTCTTATGTTCATCTTTCTTTAAAACTGTGTCAAGCCTCTGTGAGACACCCATTCTCAGTTGAAGCCTTGTGCGTCCAGTATGCCCAAAAGTAAGGTATTTTTGTTGGGGAGGGGACAGGCAATAAGATATGAGTACATGCGATAGACTCCAAAGGAAATGGAAAACCTGGTGTCTTTCCCCTCATGTGTGTGTTCTTTGTTTGTAGACTGGTCAAGACACTACTCATCTTCTTGTGGCTTGCCAATATGCTTCCTAGTTATGGTTCCACCCCTTCTCATTGGGAGCAGTTGAACAACAGCTGTAAGTGTGTTGGATCTCTTTTCCACTGACCTACCTCCTTGTCATACTAAAGTCCAAGGATGATATGGCAATGCAGAAGGGCAGCTATTGTATGGAGTTTGTTTGGGGAGAGAAAGGCTGGAATCTTTGAAAGTAAGGGTTGAAGGTGGAAGAGTTGATAAAGCTCATCGGTACAAAAATTGGGCATTGGGACCTGGTGAGTAGGGGTGAGAAAATGGGTAGGTTCTACCTGGAACTGAATGGAATCGACCTTTCACGGTCTCAAACTGACCCTATGTAATTTGTTACTAGGTAGGGTTTGGGTCCAAATTCTTGGAACCGACCCCCACCCAGGCCCGTTCTAGGAAATGGGGGCTTATGCTACTCGAACCATCCCGGAGAACCAGCCTTGATTGGCCTTCATTGAACCGACCTTGGAACCGAACTTGGCTTAAATAAATCCCAAAATACTTTGAGGATGTGAAGATTTAAGCCCAACCACTCGTGTTAACAAAGACCATGGTCTCACTTGACCATTAAACAACTTAAGTGAATCGATAATTTTCTTTTTTTTTTTTTGATCAATAACGGAATTTCATTAAAATTAGTATATAGAACAGTTGCAAGAGTAGGAGAGGTAAACTATCTTAACTCTCCATATAGAAATTAGCTATTACACTTGAAGATAGGGGATGGATTTAGTTGGCAACTAAGGAATGAGCTCAGGCGCTTCAAACAGGCTTCTAAAGACATGGTGATTCCAATAAGGTGGATTAAAAGATCAGCTAATAGCATGGCTGATGGATGAGCTAAGCAAGGAGTTCAAAGACGATCTATGTTTTGGGCTACGTTTTAATTAGCGGAGGTTGTTGGGTTACCCTTTGGGCTGTTTTGTAATTAAAGGGATTGGCACTAGGGTTGTTTGTGGCAATGATGTATTTAGTGGGACACTATGGACTGCTTGTCCGCCCACAACTTCTTGTTGTACATGACTTTTTAAATTAATGAATCTTTTCTGTGTTGCTGGTCAAAAAAAAAAAAATAAAACCAATAAGGGGATAAACACCAATTTGTTCTTTTCCTTTGTATTAAATTGCAGGTATTGATTCTTTCCAGAAAGACTTCCCAACAAAAACCCCCAACTCTTGGAGGGATGGGCTTACCCCACACTTCCTTAACAGGAAAATGTTGCCCCAATGAGTCAGCAGGTTGTATTAAAGCTCTGAAAAAGGAGGCACATGAATAGACTCCAGATGGGGAAAGGGTCCAAATCCGACGATCATGTTTTGAGAAGTCCAAGTATACCCCATCAAGAATATTAATCAGATCCAAAATAGCATTCAATTCAGAATCCCTCACCCCCCCTTCACAGCCCCATAAGGAAGACACAGGTTTATCTTTATATCTTGATATAGCAAAAACAGAGGGGAATTTATCTTTCAAAGAGAGGTTACCCACCCATACCTGTTCCCAAAATTTTATGAGATTTCCAGAATAAAGGTCATACCTGACGAAAGGTAAGAAGGACGGGGGGATAGAGTGGATGGCCTTCCAAGGGGAAGCTCTAGTAGCTGCAGTCAGTAATCCAACATCCCAACCATCAGCTGCAAGCCCATGTACCCCTACCACTGTTTTAGCCAAAAGCTTATCTTTTTCTTCTGGTAGTCTCCAAATCCACTTACCTAATAAAGCCTCGTTCCTCTTCTGCAAATTGCCTAAACCTAAGCCTCCAAACCTTTTCCTTCAACTCACTGTTTCCCAACTCACCCTATGATCCTTTTATCATTCCCTGGTTCCCACAAAAAACCCCTCATCAGTTTTTCCAATTTCCTGCTAATGTTCTCGACATCTTGAAAACAGACATGAAATACACAGGTAGATTGGCCAATGTGGCCCTTATTAATGTAACCTTTCCCCCTAAAGACAGATAATTCTTCTTCCAAGCAGCAAGCCTCTTAACAAATCTTTCCACCACTGGATCACAAAAACTACTATTCTTTGAATTGTCTCCCAAGGGTAGTCCCAGATATCTCATAGGCCAATGTGACACTTCACAACCCAAAATGCTAGCATACTCCGTCATTTCCCCCTCTTCCATATTAACACCTATTATGCAGCTTTTGTCAAAATTCACTTTCAGATTGGAGATAAACTCAAACAACTGGATTTTCAACTTAAGGTTTTTGACCCAATCTCTATTACCTTCTTCACAAAATAACAAGGTGCATCTGGAAATTGTAAGTGTGTAATTGGTATTCGTATCACCCTCCTTAATCCATTTTTGCCTTGATTTCTACCTCCAACTTATTTCCTCCTTATGAAGTACATCTTCCAATTGTTTCCTCAAAGTCCATATCAATTCCTTATCTCTAACTTCAAAAGTGCCCCCTCCTTTTTATCTAGATCTTCAATTTGATTGATTAATGACTGCTTCCCCTCCTCAGTTCTCCCGAATTCCAAAATATTCCACCCTTTAATCTTAACTTTCAGATCTTGCAACTTCCTATGAAATTTCATACCTTTTCACTCAACTCTTGGATTGCTCTCCCCCCACCATTCTCTAATCTTTTGAATAAAACCCGGATGACATAACCACAGATTCTCGAAACGAAAAGGATCTGGCCTTCTACCCTCAAACACCTCCTTAGATAATGTGATAGACCAATAGTCCGAAGTTAATCATGGCAATGCTCTAGATACTAAGCCACCCCATTTTTCTTCCCAATCCACCCAAAACAGAAATCTATCTAGTTTAGAGCAAATTGGATTAGCTTGGAGGTTGGACCAAGTAAACTTGTTATGTTGGAGTGGCAAATTCCTTAAGCTCAAAGGTGTTAATAAATTTATTAAACTTCTTCATGCTTGTGGTAATACATTGTCTCCTATTATTAGTTTCTTCATTAAATCTGATTACATTGAAATCTCCACCAATGCACCAAGGCCCCTCCCACAAACCTCTTATATTGTTCAGTTCCTCCCACATTCCATTCCTCTCCCTATATGCATTTGGACCATACAGGTTTGTTAGTACCCACAAGTTCTTCAGTTTCAGCCATCTTTTCCTCTTTCCATAATGTTACTATTCCCCTGGAAGATCCCCAGGATGGCACCACTGCCCAATTAACACCCCTAACTCTCCACACACTACATCGGGATTCTCTTTATTACATCCTTAATTAATGCCCTCTTCCTAGCATTGCCTAGTCCATGAACATTCTAACTTAGAATCTTCATAATTTAGCACTTTTGATCCCCTTCTCCAATTCCTAGCCTTACTTCCTCCCTTTTGTCCTTTCCTTCCTCGATCTGAATCGATAATTTTCTTTAATTTCATATAATAAGTTGTTGAGGTTTATCAGTTTTTTATTTCTTTTTAATTAGTGTTATTGGGTCCAAGGCCCAACAGTTAATGCTTGTTTATTTCTGTTACTAGCAGCAGCCGCCCTATTAAGGGCATATTAGACATTGTACTCCTTTTTATTTGATAAGTATGTAAGTTAGAGTAGGTCGGCCAGATTAGTTTTTTCCGACTTCTCCCATCTCTTATTCTCTTTATTCTCTTTTCTTCTCTCCAAGAAACCTTTTTCTTTCTTTCTTCTATTGCTGTTATCAAATCGGATTACTGTTCTGAATTTCCTACTTGGTATTAGAGCACTTTTTAAGTTTTTTTTTTGGTTTTCCACCATGCAACCTAGATCAGCTGACTGCATGGTAAGTTTGAGAGCTGATCAATGACACTTTAAAAGGGCCCAGTTCTTGGATTTTGTGATCCCTTTGTGTTAGATCTTGGGTTAATCATTGAAATGAAGAAGAATTGCAGAAGCAGGAAGAGTCCTGATTATAGGACTCTTTATTTTTTCCCTAGGAAGAGGCGCTCAGGTTTTATTGGATTCCTTGATGTTTCTGAAGGGGGCAGTTCAATTTTTGGTGATTTCTGATTTCTTTGGAGGGAGTAGTAGCCTCTTCTCTTGTTTCTACCGGCTCTTGAGAGGACAAGAATTTCTTTAGCTGAAGTTTTTTTGGTGCAACAAGTTTTGCTAAGGCTTCCAAAGGGGATTGATTTGTTTTTATAGGCTTTTTCTTGTCTACAGTTGAGGTTTTAAACTGTTCTAGGAAT